GGCCAGCATAAGAAGGGACAGCTTGATTTGGACATTAATTTTAAAAAACTGAGAAACACTGACCATCAACTCAGGTAACATAAAAACTTAGTGGTGCCAAGGTTGATGAGAAAATAGGGATATTCTGGTGAGAATATAAATTAATTCAACATGCCTAGGTAACCAGATTGGAAAAGGTCACACCCTCTTGGCCCAACAAACTTACTTCTAGAACTTTATGATGAGGAAATAATTGGTTAATTATACCAAACAGGTTGTACAAAGTATCCAGAATTATGGTGAAGAAGCACTTGCAAAAGACTTTTCTCTGGCCACCTCTGACTCATGAACTCCATCAAAATGCTATTTCTCACCTCCAGTCTCTACAGCTGCTAACTTAAGTGATCATTTTTCAGGGAGAAAACTAACTGTGGAAAAGCAACAGGATCTTTTCAAGGTCATTTTGCAGTAGGAGAGTCAGCATGCAGTCCCTGTTCCTGGTGTCTGACAGCCACCTCCTTGCCATCTGAAGGCAGGGAATAATTCTGCTATAGTACATTGCTTGGAAAAAAAACTTCTATCAAATGACAGCAAGATTCTTAGCCTTAGGCCTCTTGATTCATGTTCCACATGCAAAAGTGTGAGCCTTGAATATGGCCAGTGATGTTTTCCCAGCAATCTATGCACTCCTATCACATGAAAACTGCCAAAGACACAAGGGATTAGCAAGTGATTCAGCAGTGTCTGCATTAGCATGTAACTGCCCACATGCTTTAAATTTTATTCCATCTCCTTTGTGTTTTAAAAACTAAATTTATTGACACATACTGGCTGTAAAGTGTAAGGAGATTCATTATATTTTCATATTTGCATATATTGTGCTTCAATCAAGTTCGTCCACCCCGTCCTACCTTCTCCCTCTCACCTAACACTCCTTCCAGGTCGTGTAGTCCCTCTTCTACTTTTTTTAAGTTTCCACATATGAGAGAAAACATGCAATTTCTTTTGTATCTGAATTATTTTGTATCTTCCATTTCCATGCATTTTTCTGCATATAACCAGATTTTATTCTTCTTTATGATTGAGTAGGATGTGTGTGTGCATGTGTGCACATGCGCATGCCATGTTTTCTTTTCCTGTTGACCAGCTGACAGATATGTAGACTGATTGCTTGCCTTGGTTATTGAGAATAGTGCCTCTCTTGCTCCTTTCTTGCTCATTAGCCATTGTTGTATAACAAAGGATTCCCAAACTCATTGCCTTATTGCAAAATTTTATAATTATTACTCAATTTTTTGGTTTGTCTATGCTCAGTTGGGTAGTTCTTGATTACAGTAAACTGTCATGGAACTTCAGTCAGCTTGCAGCTAAAACTGCAGTTCCCTGGTGACTCATTTGGGCTGGACATCCACCACAGTACATCCCCATGGCCTAAACTCCAGGAAAAAAAAGAAAGGGCTGGAATGTATCTTGAGGTAGAGGACTCACCTAGCATGAAGGAGATCCTGAGTTACATGCCCAGCTTAAGATTGTATAACAGCTTAGAATTGATTTCTAAGATTGAAGGGTAAATGAAAACTGGATAGAGGAGCATTATTTGCTATTATAAAGCAAAAGAAATGACAAGCTTAGTGCCTATAGAGAGGAAAACTGATGAGACCTTATTTCACAGCACAGCCTTGAAAGTAGTGAAATTCTGTGTGATACAAATCTAAAAATGTTAGCTATTGCTTACTTTCTTTCTGTCAACAAAACCATACTATTCTTGTGTCAGGCATTGTGTTGGGTACTGATAAACAATAATTACAAGTTGTCTTAGTTACTTCTCACTGGTTGTTGAGACAAAATATCTGATGTCTAACATGAAAGAAGGAAAGGTTTATTTCTTACAGGTTGGAGGCTTCAGTCCATACTCAGTTGGCTCCAAGGTTAAAAGGCTGAGGGGCAGTAATTTGTGGTGGCTACAAACATCAGGCATGAACAGCAAAAGAGAAACACAAGTCCTCTTTCCTTAGGTACACTGTATGCTGGCTCCACCCTTGGCAGGTGTAGTTCTCATACCATCAATCTGAGTGCTAGAAAACAACCAATCAGAAAACATAGATATGGTCGCATCCAGGATGGCATGAGGCTTGAGGGGTACTAAGGTTAACCATGACAAAGAGACTGCTGTCATACTCTTACCATGAAGCCTACAGTCTATTGAGGTGGAGGGATATTTATCCAATAACTACCCAAATGTCAGCTGAGCATTCCTAATCAGAATTCTAAAGTCTGAAATGCTTCAAGGTCTAGAACTTTTGAGTAATGATACAGGGCCAAAAGTGAAAAATTTCACAACAAGAATTTTGTTTCAAACACAAAATATTTTTTTCATTAAGATTATTGGTATAGTTTAGGTGTAAATAATGATCATGGAAACCGTGGGAAATTTGTACCGTACAATAAAAACTTGAATGTGTTATTCTCCATTCCCCTAATTTTGCTTCAACTCTCTTACCTTCCTTGTTTATGAAAGCTTTGTTTTCTTCTTTTCTCATCATTTGTTTCTTTTTTCTTCCTTCTTTTCTTCCTCCTACATGCATAATTCCTCATTTAATTAGAAAATTTTCAAAATATCTGGATTACTTTAGTGCTTATCTACATTTTCAGCTTCCCACACCAGAGAAACAACACAATACACATGTCAAACACAAACTCCTTAAAAGTATTGTATAAAATTATCTTCAGGTTATGAGTATGAAGTATATGTGAACCATAAATAAATTTCATATTTAAACTGTGTCCCATCCTCAAGATAACTTATTATGTATATGCAAATATTCCAATAAAATTATAGAAATTCCAAATACTTCTGGTCACAATCATGTTGTATAGGGGACACTGAATTTATAGATGTTTAATTAAAAACCTGAAGGAAGAAGTACAATGGGTGATCAAAATATACCTCTAATACTTAAATTTTTTAGATGTACTACAATAGTGATATGTGGCAATTAATCCTTCTTAAGAAGCACCTATTTAGACAAATAAATTAAATAAAATACACATCCTCACTTTAAGAACTCTTCCCCATTTGTTCTGGCAATTTCTGAAGGAGTTTGGAAGTCCTCTTTTGTGAGTGTCTTTATATATTGGAATAAACATTATAGTTAGTGCTCCTGCTTAGTGCCATCCAATGGAAAGGAAGGCTCATAAATACCTTATGGTGTGTCCTCATCCACGTGATTCACCAGATCTGGTGACTCTTCTGAAATTCAAAATGACCATGAAAGATGAATATTTTGAATTGATTCAATACATTGAGGCAGCCACAACAGCACAATTAAAGATACTCATAAGAGGAGTTCCAGAACTGTTTCAAAGAAAATGGCAAAATGATGGAATAAGTGCATTCAAATAAAGGAGGAACTTGGTGTAGAGGTGCATATCTGTAAACTCAGCACTTGGGAGCCTGAGGCAATAAAATCTTTGAGTTTGAGACTAGCTTGGGCAACACAGTGAGTTCAAGGCCAGCATGAATTCCATAGCAAAACCCTGTCTCACAAAACCAAAAACCAACAAACAAAGAACACCTAGCTGATCGTTTCAGCACAATTTTGTGTTTGTGTGTAGATTACTGACTCACTGAAGATGGAAGACCTTCCCTGTGTGTGGTGGGCAACCAACAGGCCTGCATCCTGGAAGCTGTAAAATGGGAAAGGAGAAAGTCTGGCTTCTGCCTCTTCAGAAGAGTTTGAATCCTTGCCATCACCTTAGGTATCCATTTCCAGGCACCTAGCACAGATTCTTCTGCTCCCTGAAGACTCTCCAGGGACTCTGCAGAGAGCTCCAGGCCTCAGACTTGTGATTGGAGGTTTTGCATGTCCAAGGAGCACCTGACCCTTTTGCGCTGTTCTCCACCTGACTCTGCAGATGGCCATCCTAAACCTAATTTGCAAATCCTTTATATCACACACACACACACACACACACACACACACACACACACACACACACAAAGAGAGAGAAATTGAATCTGATCCTATAGTGAACCCTGACAAAAACTGCCTCTACCTAGCAGTGCAACCTCCCATGAACTGCAGCGATGCTGTGCTAAGTATGGGTTACTTAACAGAGGTGTTGGTGTAAGGCCCGCTGGGTTAAAATTCTGTCCACTGCTTTGTCATTGGAAAAGGTATTTATTTTTGGTGTCTAGGCTCACACAGCAATGTAAATGAAGATAATTCCTAACTCACACTCTTGTAAGAATTAACATATGTAAAGCGCCTCAAAGAGGCCCTGGCCTGACACTGATAAGTGTGAAAGAAGCTTGTTAGTACATTATATTAACATATTTTTAAGATATGAAAACATCAGACAATGTATTCAGGAAGCACTCATTTCTCTGTAATAAAAGAAGGGCAACAACGCAAATAACAATGGCATCTGAGCTCTTGCTATATGCTAGGAGCCATGGGAAGAGCTCTGCAGGGTTTTCACTGGATCTTCACAGCAGCGCCAAGAGAGGAGTATTGCCAGTCATCACGGTTTGTTTTTTGAATGGAAAAAAATCCACAATATTTCAAAACAAAGTAATAGGAGAATGACAGTATTGGCAAGTGAGGCTCCAAGAAGAGGAGCAGTGGGCCCAAGGTTTCAGAGCTACAAGATTTGAGTCCAGACACCTATAAATTCCAAGCCTCAGACTCAGTCCACTCCTCTGCTTCCTGTCATAGTGGGCCTGGGGCTCAGAGTCTCCCAGAAGCCTCATCAGAGATCTCCACTGGCAGCCACACCCTGCTTCAGTGGGACCCTAACCCCAATTGCCACGCCCACTGCCTCATTTTTGCCCCACTGACAGGCTTGGCGCCTGCTTTGTCCCAACTTCTAGCCCTGCCCCTTGCCCTTCCCTCACACCCTTCGCCCCACCCCCTTCCAGGACCAAAGGTTCTGCTGCCCCGCCCCACACCCGGCGGGCCACGCCCACAGACGGCCTGAGCATGAGCCTCCACATCCCCGCTCAGACCTGCCCGCGCCCCGCCTCGCCCTCGCAGTGCATGCCGGTCTTGTGCTTGGAGTCGCCATTTTGCCACTAGAGATGCTGTCTGAAGACCAGTGCTCTCTTCCTTCAGCGGTCTAGGCTGCATCGGGGCCTGAGCTGGGGTCTGGGCCAGGTAGGCCGCTGGGAGCCGGCAGCGAGCAGTGGCGCTGCCCGGTGGCCCCCACATTAGTGGGCGCAGCTGTCCGGGCAGGGAGTCCTTATGGCGGGGTCATGGGCTGGGGCGGTGGGGGTGACGCGCTGGGCGCGACCTAGCCCCCGCCCGCAGGGCCCCTCTCTCCCTTCCTCCCTGCTCTCTGTCGGGGTCAGCACAGCCAGGCTACTGGAAGCCCAGTCCTGGTGTGGGACCTGCAGGAGGCGGCTTGGGGTCTCACATGGCCTCTGCTGTCAGTGAGCCTGGCCATGCTGAGCCGTGGATATTTACCCCCAAAATGACGATTTCATTCCACTAGGAACTCCTCCCTGCAGAAACCGAGAGAGGACTGAGATGTTACAGTAAGATAGTAGTTATTATTCTACCTGCACGTGCTGTGGCTCCAGTCCGTTTCACTGATAAGGGGCTTTCTGCTTCTTTTAATATTGGCGCTACTTTTGTGTTTAGGTTTTGTGAAGGGTGTTTAGGTTTTGTGAGGAGTCTGAAGGCGACATGGGGCTTTGAGTCATGAGGAAGTGTGATTCCACAATTTAAGTCCACAAAAATACTGCGCACACATTGTTGAACCCTGCTGCAGAATACCCTTCTTGTCCCTATTCTGCTGTCTCTGACCATTACTCCCCGGTTCTGCTCACATCATTTATATATATGCATAGTGTTGAATATTTATATTATATGCATAGGTACAGTTGTACTTAGTTATCCTGTTACTGACCATGTATACAAGTCTAGTTCCTCTTAGAAAACGTTCATTGAACACATATCATTTTTTCTTCGGATAAATTCCAGAATTTGAAATACTAAGTCAAAGTTTTTTGCTCTTTCCCTGCCACTTGATATGAATTGGTGCCTAAACAAGACATGTTTACATCTTTCAAAATCTAGGTATTTGCCCAAATTTCTTGTCAAATTTGGAGTTCAGAAAGAGGTTGTGTCATTTTCTGGGCAGTCTGAGAGACAGGCCACACAACCTACTATTGGACTTTGTTTTTAAGTCATGTACCATGTTCATCTTTTTGTTTTGATTCACTCCATTATGTTTTGTTTCGTTTCATTTTATTCTCTTAAAAATAAAAATGAAATAAAAATATTTTCTTGCTGGGCATGGTGGTGCATGCCTGTAATCCCAGCACTATGGAGGGTTAGACAGGAGGATCACAGTGAATACCAGGCTAGCCTGAAATACTTGCTGAGTTAAAGATCAGGCTGCACTATATAGCAGGACCTTGTCTCAGAACGAAATAAACAACCCCTTTTTCCTCTTTTCTTATTTTAATGTACCATAAGTAGATACTAATAAAGCAAATATGAAAACACCTTTATAAAGAAAGTCTTCATACTATGCAGTTTGTATACTATGAAACTATATAGTATGCTTTATACACTATAGCATACTTTATATAAATTTATATACTGCAAAACTGTGTAGTATGAAACTATGAAATTTTTCAGCCGGGCTTGGTGGCTCACACATGTAATCCCAGCACTCAGAAGGCTGAGGTGAGAGAATCCTTGCAAGTTTGAAACCAGCCTGGGCTAAAAAGTAAGCTCAAGGCCAGCCTAAAGTGCATAGCAAGACTACGTCTCAAAAAGACAAAAAATAAATAAATAAATAAATAAATAAATAAAAGAAAGACTATACAATTTCATACTATGCAGTTTATGTACTACGTTCAGTGATGCCAGGGATTTCTGCATGAGGTATATGTCCCTGCACTTTTAAAATTTGTTCTTATTTGTTTGTTTCTTGAGACAGTATCTAAATAATTTACTCAATTCCCCAGGTTTGGTTTAACCTGGTGGTCCTTCTTCCTTACCTCCCAGAGTTCTGGGAGTACAGATACAGGCTGTCTTTACTTACAAATTTACAATAATTATGTATGTTTATGGGATAAAATGTGCTTTTCATCTATGGCTCCTTTGTGGAAAGAATCAATCTAGTTAATGTACCTACCATTTTAGAAACCTACAAATTCTTTCACAGTGACTGGGACTGCAAATTCCTTTGTTTAGGAGTTTTGAAATCTATCCTTCTTAGTTAACTGTAGTCACCATACAGTTTAGTAGAGAACTGAAAATTTCTTGTCCACCATGACTGAGACGTTGTATTTTTGGGTGACCATCCTCCTTTCCCCATCCCTCATGGAAATGATCATTTTTTAAAATAAGAGTGCTCAAGAATTGTGTGGAGGCTAAAGGTACTTGGGGCACACTGCTCTTCAGAAAGACCAGGCAGCAATACTCTGTAGCCCTTCACCTTGCTCCCAATTTTTGTTTCTTTGTTTGTTTGTTTTTTCTTAACTGAATTCTAGGAATTGGATGCAGGGCTGTCTTAGTTACTTTTTACTGGTTGCTGAGACAAAAATCCTGATGCCAAAATTTGGGAAAGGAAAGGTTTATTTCTTACAGTTTGTGGAGGTTTCAATCCATACGCAGTTGGCTCCATGGTAGGATGACATGGCAGGGCCGCAGTTCATGGTGGCTGCAAACAGCAAAGAGGAAACTGGCAAAAGCACCAGCCACAACTTCTTCCTGCCAGTACATCACATCCTGGCTCTGCATCCTGCCTGTGAAGCACTCACACCCCCAATGCAAGCCCTAAACATTGAAACAATCACAAATGCAAAATGTAAAGGCATGAGGCCTAGGGGCCACAGACATAAACTATGACAAGGGACTTGCACTGAACTACACTAACTTCTGTTTTTAAAATTCTTTTTTATTTTTAGCCAGGGTCACCATAAGTAACTACACTGCTGAGACACCATTCTTACATGCAGATTCTTACAGGTCTATGTGTGGATGCACATTGATGTCAGAGACATTTCCCTTTCATAACTGAGATACTTGTTCTCACATCCTGCAGCTTTCCCTGCTTCCTATGACCCACACTGGTACCACACACCCTTTATGTGGAAGAGAGGGATGGTCCCAGTTCCTTCCTGCTTCAAATAGCTGTGAATCAAACTCTTTTAAGGAAATCTTGCAAAGTTGTGCAGCTCTCTGTAAGGGATAAAGATCTGTTGTTAACCCTGCCAGGTCCAGGGACAAATGTGTGTAGCACTCTGATGTGAGCTGCCAGGCAGGTCTCTGCTCTGGCCCCCATATTCTCCCCAGTGCTTTTCAGCACCTGTCTTAAAACCTGCCATCAGGTGGAGACTCAGCACATCTCAGGGATGTGTGCCTGCATGAATCAGCTTTGAAGGCTCAGCATTTTCTGCATTTGTTGCCCAAATGTGGTGATTCTGTTTTTTTTTTTTTTATTTATTTAAAGAGAAAAACAAAACAAAACAGTAAGAGAGTACAAGTAATACAGAATTTCAAGAAAAAATACAGTAAGAAATCACTAGTTAATAGATTACATATTGTCATCTCATTAACAGTTGTCCAGATTACAAAATTAAAGCATACAAAGTGGACATTAATACAGTGAAGTTGTAGACAGTTCTGTTCAATGATCCAACAAAAACTCAGTAATATGGTTTTCTATTCTATACACTTAAATATACATGCAGTTATATCATTTAGATCACTTTGTTTTCCTCTCTTTTTTATGATAACAATTACACATTTGGGGTTTTATTATTCCCAAAGTTCTTGTAACTTTTTCTTTGAAGAGGAAAAAAAAAATAAAAACATAACAAATGAAACAAAACAAAACAAAAAATCCCACGTGACAAAGCAAAACAGAGTCAGTTAGAACAGGAGGATGGACATGGTATATAATGCAAAAGAGAATACCAGGTGATCAACAATGGTTATCATTATGCCTCTTGCTATCTTAAAGAGTTGCCTGTATCATCTGTTATAATAGATTTGAACAAAACTATACATAACAAGGCCAATAAGACCCACATTGGAGGACTTCCAAAGAAAATAATAGTCAAACCATAATGAGCATCATAGAATATCTTGTTGTTGCCTTCAAAGTGGTTGCCCACCCTCAAACTTGATGCTATTAAGCAAAACAGAATGTAGTAAAATCAGTGAGGACAAGATGTGGAGAACAATACAGGGGTTCAAATCAGTTAATAAGAAAATAAAAGAGTTACTATAATATATTCTGCTATTTTTAGTATAGTTTTCCCTTAAAAATAATAAGAAATTACTTTTTTTAAAAAAGGGAGATTGAGATAAAAGAGGACATATCAATAGAACAACACAGGTCAGAACTGAACAATTTAAGCATCATTGTGTTTCACCACCGTATAGCCTGACATAATAGTTGTTACCATAGTGTCTCTTTCCTTGACATATTTGAGCATAACTTTGTTTACTATAGCATCAAACTTATCAAGACAGTGTGAAATCATTCAAGAGAATGAAAGTATTTCAGGGTATTTAGAACCAGCTAACAGAAATTGAACAATGGTTTCTATACTATCTCTTTGCCTATAAAAATTTTTCTTTATACTATTTCACATATTAAAATATAATATGATACAACATGTTAAAACCAATGGAAACAGATGAACAACAACTTAGTATGACTTCAAAACAGGATGATATTAAATCAGCACTAGCTATTACGCTGCCTAATTTTCTTCAAAATAACTATTCATACTATCACAGACAATAAAATCAAACAACCTAGATTAAAACCATTCCAAATAATGAATGAAAACATTATATGGCTTCAAACCAATATGATGGAAATCATGATTACCATGCACTTTTATGTATTCTTATCATTTCTTACACTAGGGAAACTATTCGGTATTTATACATGTGAGTTTGATTTATTTCACTTATGAGTATGTTCTCAAACTGCATACATTTATTTATATCTCAATGTGATCATCCTTTATAGCTGAGTAGTACTCCATTGTATAGAAATACCACAACTTTTTTATCCATTCTTCAGTTGATGGACACTTAGGTAGTTTCCTAGATCTGGCTATTACAAATTGTGCTGCTAATAAACATGGGTGCAAATATGTCACTGTGGTATCATGCTTTCA